TCTTTCGAATTCTGCTTATAAGTAAAAACCAAACTTAATTTAATTGTATTTAAACTTTGTGACACAGAGAAGTTCCCTTTACAGAAAAACTTTAGTGCTAAGATTTTATCATTTTCAGTGTTCAGACAGCTGCTACAATTCTTTACTATCTTGTAGTCATGGCTATGATGATTTTTTTCAAACTTGAAAAGGGGGAATTGCCTCAAATTAAAGAAAGACAGCTTTGAAGAAGTTGCCCCAGAGTAAAGCATTTTACACGTCTAGAACGTTAGTGAAGCTCCTGTACTGTAATTTAGATAACAGCACAGATACCAAGCTGGGGTGTGTTAGTTGTTGAGACATGGGGGTGATTGCCACTTTCAGTGTTCTTTATTTTACACTACAGTGTTGACTTTTTACATCGACAGTGATGAAAAAAGCCTTGGTAATATATCGAAAACTAGGCTTGTGAATATATGCCTGAAAAAGTAGTAAATGCTGTGGCTTTCAGATCATAAGAGGCTCCTGTGTCAGAAACATTATTCTAAAGAATAAAAGGTGTATCTAGAGTATCTTTTACCAATAATTCAAGATAATACTGAAGATTCCAGCGAAACCATGACTTTAAGCCAAATGCACGAACAGCTCAATCTCCCACGTTAGAAATCAGTCCAAATATTTTAAGGGATTGTGTCGTATTTAGTTGTATATTCCCTGCAGATTTTGTGTGCAATAAACATTTCTTGAATGAACATATTAAGCAGTAGTGTAGGTTTTTACATCATCAGAAACCAAAGATGTGAGTAAAATTATCTAGTAGTTATGAAATGTACCTTGACTTTCTTTTCTAATAATGATGGCAACGAGTTAGCTCTATCAATGTTGCAGAGATATCTTAGAAATATTCCCCATTTGTTTAAAACGTATTCTTGATTAGAAGTATAACTGGTCAAAGATCTGATGATTTTGAAGACCTCTTCTGTCTTGACTCCAAAATATAGCATTTTATTGATATATAGAACTGGTATTGAAATTTACGGTTTTCAAAGGGAGGAATGATATTCTGTACAATGTTTGCATTCTGTGGCACAAAACTTTACATAATATAACATTCAAGCTGGATTGATAAAGAAGAATTTAAGTTGAGGGCTAGGATGATAAACTGGAGTTTATTGACGCAAGTAACTCAGCAGTTCTAAGCAGTGGGAGACAAAAAGCACAGTGATCGTATACAGTAGTTATCTTCTGTTTATACTTTATTTACTGAGCCCTTAACCTTGTATAAGGCCCTGCAGCAATTGGGAAAAAAAAAGTATAAGAAGATCTTAGAATGACTTAAGGTAAAACAGTGCAAGGGAAGCGGGGCTGATCTGCTGGTTATAAATGAATCAGATAAGAACTGTTCTCAAGCCAAATAAAAGAGTAACAAAGATAGAAATTAAAACACAACAAAAACGCAAGTATAAAAAAGTATTCATCTTCTACTTTTCTGTAGTTCTTCAAGACTTGAGTATATATTAAATATATTTTCATATTCTGGCAGGAAAATGCTTGGCCACACCTAAGCTAAGTTTCAGGTGGAGAAGCCAAAAGGAAAAAACTATGTATAATATAGATGGATGTGTTTCTTGGTTTCATTTAAGGTGTTTGCTTAGATCAAACATGAGAAGCGCCTTACGCCAGTTTAAGTTGAGATGTGGAATACTGTGGAGTATCCAAACTGGATTTGGCTTTGGGAAGAGTTAGAGCCACTTGCATAGCTAACATTGCCATCTTCCTACCCACCTGGGGAGATGTGCTGGGGAAAAGCCAATCTAGAACATGTAAGAACGGCACCTCCAACTTTAGGCCCAATCACAAGGAAGATCAGACTGGAAGAAGCAATGGGATTTCTGAAAGGACATTTCAGGGCTGTTGAACTATTGGAAACTCTGTTAAGATGATAGTGAAGTAGATGGAAAAATAAATCACAATTAAATTTGGAGAAAACAATAATTTTTCCTTCTTTTCTGTCATTTTTAAAAAGTGATTGCAGACATAAGATTAAAAATTTCTGTTAATAAAAAAGAAATTCCTTACTACTGCTTCTAATCTGTGAAAATAATAAACAAGCCAACATATTTTTAAAACTATACAAATCTGTCCCCAAGACAGACAGCGCCATGTAGTTCTGAAACTGCCCAGTGAATTCTTTCTTCTCCCATATGAAACTCTTAGTACCAGAAATCTGAATGACTTTACGTTATGATATCAACATTCTTCTTAAGTGGATTATGCAGTATCATCATAGATTGGATGAGAGTAAAGAATGTGAATATGTTGTAGAGACATCAGTCTCCCGGGCCCAAGTAGGCTGATTTCCAGCAGTGCTTCTCAAACATCGAAGATGAAGATTGAATTTTTATTTCCAACTTCTTGCAAGCTAAAATGAAATAAGACACTTGGATAATGTCAAACCACATAAAAGTTTTGAGTCCTTACTCTCAATTTCTATAACTGAACTTACTGCGGACTGGTCACAGTTTGCCGAGTGGCACCAACCCATGAACCACACTGAGAACACTGATTTAGGGTTCTGGCTGTGCTGTTTGTTTTGGGGACTGTGATTTACTCTTCTTTTTCCCATTTATAAAATGAAGTGGGAACACATTAAATGATTGCCAAAATCTTATGATTCTGTTTTTATTTTGATACTATTTTCTTTTTGCTGGTTAAGAAACGTGTTATAGGTACAGCTTACTATCTAAATAGTAATATCTAAATAGGTCTCTGTTAGGTCCCACTTATATAAATGAGTGAAGAGCATGTTTTAGCTGAGAGTTTATAGGCTATATTTCTGCAGCATTTTCACTTAATTGCAACACTGTTTTCAGAGTGGTGAGCTCTTTTTTTTTTTTTTTTCTCCCCACCAGCTACTTTGAGGAAAAATATCACTTCCTGGGTAGCTCTGAGCTCTCCAGTGAAACCCCCTGCGACCATGCCCTAGGGATTATAATGATGGTGGGTTAGCAGGTCAGCCTTGAGTGATAAATCTTCAATTTGCCTCATTAACAGAAACCTGAGCGTTGGGTTACAAATAGGTCAGTTGTGAAGATAGCAAAGTAACTGCAAACTAAATACATTGGTTTTCTCTTTTCTCCCAATACCTCTGGTGAAAAAGTACATACCAAAAAGATAACAGCAAATATGTGACTGTAAAAGTTGTCAGAGAATATAGTCTTGCATAGGGATTTAACTGTGGAAAGATTATAAAGCCAGACTGCTCTTTCATCCTTTCTGAATTATAACAAATGGTAATAAAACTACGAATGGAAGAAAACATTTATCTAGAGTTAAAAGCCGCAATAACCGTGGATAAATGATAGTGCTTAGTCACGTCTTGCGTAGGGTTTATGTTTTTAGAATGTGTTTTACTTCTAGTATCTAAACCCAAGTTTTCATAAATTTTCAAAAGTTCTTCTCAAAAGAGAGTTAGATATTAATGAGAAGGTCGGGTGTTGTTCATGAATAAGTTATTTGACATCTTTGTTCTGAGAATCCAAGAGAATCAAAACTTTCTCTGAGAAAACAGATACTGCATATAGTTTAACCACGTTTATGCTTTTGAATGCTAACTTCCAGACTTTGTCTAGAATCCTGTGCCCATGTTTAAAAAAATTCACAGAAAATTTATTTGTCAGGTCATGCTTTTAAGAATTCTTTATTTTGTGTGCCTCTGAGATTTTTATTCCACCAGTACTTCTGAATTCATAAATATTCTTGTCCGTATAGTACTGGTTTTGTGGCAAATCAGGGTACATTATTTTCATAGTGGATATTATTGATTTTTGGCATACCGTAATGCCATTTGCCACATATGTGGTTGTACTGTATTTTTGGAAGGTGCGAAGGAGATAATGTGTACTAATCAGGTGAATGGGACACACACATATACTTACAAACTTGTTTAACTGTATCTTATTCCCTCAATTTGTAAATTTTATGGCTATTGTTAAACTATCTGCTTCATTTCTCACCTACAACATGGGGGAAAATTCACTAAGGTGTACTTAGTGACCTAGGGATTAATTTAAAAAATGTATTTGGTTGTTTATGGTTGTATGATTTGCCACTATTCGTGAAAGGTGGAGAGGCTATGCAACTTTTGGATGTATTTGCTTTCTCATAAGAGGTGTATTGGATTGGATAGATTAAAACAGTATTTGAATGTCCTCACAAAAATCCCAGAAGAACCCAGACTTGACTTTTTTACCTGCTGCATATCCTAATTGTTACATTTTAAAGAACTAAAATAGTTTCTGAACTGTCTTCCAGAGAGATGCAAATAAGCACTCAGACTGTGTTTAACAAATCTTAAAGTTACACTGTCAGTTATTGTGATGTTTGCCTACAGGCAAATTAAAAGTAGATATCTTCGGTGCAGTTCTGAAGGAGACATTCATTCAGCATGGAGATCTGCTCTTGATGTGAGCTAAACAGTTGTGGCTCACAGTTATGCTGTCTCCAAATTCATTCTGTTGAGACTGACCTTAAGATAATGTAAAAAGGCAATTAGTTTTAAACAGTAGGAGTGCCATCAGTGTGAAAGAAACAAATTACACGGTGGGTGATATTTTTAGTGATTTTTAAGCAGATTATTAAAAATGAAATCTGTACTAAAAGCTATGAGTGTAATTTTAAAAACTGACACAGAGCAATGCATTTATTTCAAAGTGCTGCAACTCCCTAAATGACAATCCAAGCCCATTTCTATGTCTGGCTGAAAGGTGGTCTGGCTCATTAAACCACATCACAACTCCCCTGAATAATCAAGCCAAACATTTTTTACACATGATTTGTTAAGTTCTACTCCTTTGCCTTGTAATTCAATATTTCAGCAAATATTTATAATGCGCATATCATGAGCCAAGACTGTGCTTGACGTTGAAACTGTTTTTTATAAACCTAAGCTAAACCCTGAACTGTTTTTTTTTTAAAAATACAGGTTTATATGCACATATACACACAAACATACATTTATAGCTTAATAATATTTTTCATTAAAATAATTTTTTAGTTCTTGTTGACTACTTTCAGTTAGAAATAGCAAAATATTATTCTACTCCTTTGAAATTGAAAAGTAGTAAAACAATGGTTAAAATAGGCAGAATTTTTAAATTTAAAAATCAAACTTGCTGTCTGTATCACAGTCATTTATCAATATCCAGGTTTCTTTTGCCGAGGAAGAAATGACCTTAACCTTTTGAGTTAGATTACTATTTTAAGCTCATATTCATGAAACTTAGATGCATGCTGATCTTCGTACAGATGGGTCTCCAGGTTGAAATTCTGAAATGATGCAGAAACTACAGAAAGTACATTTTGTAGAATCAATGTACATTCCAATGCAGTTCAGTGATAAATTAAAATACAAGAATGATACAAATGATAACAATGACCAAGAATTACTGCACACTTGCTCACTACCAGGAACTGTTCTAAAGTGGATTAACATCTGCTCTGTTCAATTATCACAACTACCTAAGAAGGTTGATACTGTCATTATCCTCAGTTTTCAAACATGGAAACTGAGGCACAGAGAAGTTAACTTCTCTCAAGTTCATCTGACCAGCGACTGAGGTGTGTGTAGATGACCTTGGCAGCCAGTTTCCGAGTCCACATGTCTTACCACTGCCTTCTGTGGCTGAATATTAAGGGTGATCTTTCTTATCAGTATACTCAGTATAATTTGGTTAAAATACACGCAGTCAAAAATCTTAGTCAAGGCAGCTACAATATGCTTATAATTTGATTTAAATATGCATATCTTATAATAAATGCAATGTGATTAAATTATGTAGAGTCAAATAATCTTAATATAGAAAGCTGTTTTCAGGGTCCAACAATTTAGCCAGGTAGTTAAATGTTTCTACATCTTTCTCCCTCATCCCTCTAACATATGATTGAGTTACGGTTGAGCATCCCACTTGCCTCTGTGGCTGAAATGGCACGTTTCTGTCCCAACTATTAGCACAGTCTATTTTATGGTGAATACAAATGATGATCCCCAAAGCTTATATGAATAAATCAATATCATCAAGTTATGCTGTTGGAATAATTTTGTGCATAAATATTCTGACTTGCCTAATAATAGTATAATTCACACTGTTAATGAAAATGATATTAGTGAATAAATATTAATATCCTTAAGAGACATTATGGAACTCAGAGGAGAGCAGTCCTAATTTACTCAATTTTCAAAGTCATTTGAAATTAGGAAAATTATGTAAATAAAATATTTCTGTTTAATGTGCATCACAATCACATATACCTTTTGACTTAAGTTTTTGATTAAGCACTTAATCTCTCTGTGCCTCAATTTCCTCATGTGTAAAATGTTTGGAACAGTGTATTACATACCATAAACACTATAAAAGTGATGGCTTAGGAAAAAAATTCTCTAAGGGTCAATAAAAATTATGACCTAGTCTTTGTACTTAATTGGCACAGAATAGCCATTTGATGATGGTCTTTACGTTACCCTGTAATTTTAGGGGGTTTATATGTCATAAGCACAGATTTTTGACTCTCAAATGTCATTATGATATACTATATTTTTTATATATTTTCTTTCTAAACCATAAAATAACCTTAGAGCATCAGGACCCAGCTTTTTGGGGACATAACCAGAGTATTCTATTGTGTAATCACTGTACCAAATAATTTTTTTCAGAATATACACAATACAGAGTTGAAGATTCTATATCAAAATGATCAGCTGTGATGAGTCTGAGCTACAAGCCTTTTTCGCAAATAATATTTTGTTATCTGGTGAATTTACATTAGACCATGGCTGCCAACTTAAAATCCCTTTCTTTAAAGGATGCAATGTTGCATAATTAGTGTGCCGTTGCAGTCAGGATGCTTGTACCCTTTGTTTTAATCCTGGTATAGAATGCAACAGGCTATCAGAGTGGGAAGGAACCTCTGAGACCATCTAATTCAACTTGTTCATAATATAGATGAGAAAACAGCCTCTGTCAGATTCAATGTCACACAGCAAGTTACTTGTCCATTAGAATCTCAGAAATGTTTCATTTTTAAAAATGACTATCTCAGTTATTTTCTGCATAACAGGTAGCAATAGATAACAAAGTAGCTAAAAACAGTAACGATTTATTTTTTCTGATGATTCTTTGCATTGACATAGCAGGCCTCTGCTCCACATGGTACCGATTGGGGTTACTCCAGTCATTGAAGAGTTTGGCTGGGACACCTAAGTTGGGGCACCTCAGTATTTCTCTACCTGGACTCTTTTGTCATATGTTATCTCATCCTCCACAGTCTCTCCGTGTGGCCTCCCTCTCTAGCAGGATATTCTGGGCCTGCAATGACATATGTTTCAGCCCTAACTCAACGCAGTGTTCCTTACGTGAAGTACAAATTATTGTCCCCAGAGCTTGTCTGAGTAAATCGACATCAGGAAATTATGTTGTTGGGATTATTTCCTTACAGCATAGTGGATGGGTTCCAAAAGGCTGAATAGTTGGGTTCTAAACTTCTTAGTTATTCTCTTGGGAGCAACCCAAGATAATAAGCACCAACGTGTGGAAGTGCTTATCTAACCTGTACTTGGATCATACTTGTGACTCTCTTTTGGTTGCAGCAAATCTATGGCTAAACCGGGAACAAATGTGAGAGCACACCAGATTAGGCTGTGAGTTATGGAAGACGCAGTTCATTTGGAGCATCAGTGTGCCTGTCTACCAAACTGGCAGGGAATTTATGTGGTCAAGGTCAAGGAGCAAGTTGCAATATGCAACACATAATTTGATGCCACTTTAATTAATTGATTTTTTTTCATTACTTCAGTATACTGTGCACTGTTATGGGTCTATGATTGGATTGGGGGAAAGCTGACACTTTCCAGAATTTGATGAGCCATGGGAATGTTCACATCGGTTTTGGCAACCACTGTTTCTTTATTTCAGGTAGTGAGATTGTACTAGAGCCAGGCAGCTCTCAAGTCTTTGACCATAAGACTAGCACAGATCCAACATATTTAATAAAAAGTGAAGGCATGTGAATACTATTTTGGATATGATTCACTAATAAAAAGAGCAAGACTTCAGTATTAACCTTTTATTGGAATGAAATTATTCTGACTTGACCATACACTAAACCGCCTACAGCCTGTCAGTTAGAAGGAAAAAACAAAGTGCCACCACTGAACTGCTGGCCTTCTAACAAATATCACTTATTAGCATTCACAGTAAAGGTAGGCATGAATCAACCATGAAACTGTACCCTATGTAAGGTTTCTGTTAGCTTCTCTCAAGTTTTGACACACACCTGTGTCACTGACAGCTAGTATGCAAATTACCTAAAAGCTCCATTAGGCTAGTCTAGGCAAGGGAAACCCATCTGTTAGTTCTGTGACACTTTCCCTTTTAGATCCTCATGTGGGAATATGTCCTTGAAACACCCAGATGGATGAATTTGCGCCAGTGTCTGCCACCACCAACCTTGGGGGAAGTTGTCACTTCTGCTTGTTTTATTGCCGTTAATATTTGATGCCATCTTCCTTCAGATGCCAAAGAATAAAATTTTAAATCTAAAACTTCAAAGGGTGGTGAAGGATTTTAAATTCCCAATAAAAAGGACATATTACTTTTTAAGCACAAGAAAATGGAACATCATGATCCCTCTGTTTAAGAATTATGGTGCTCACTGGGTGTTTTTCAATGCTATGTGTGTGGTCTGGTGTTGACAGGAGAGAACATACAATTTCAAGTTAGCCAGTGCTTGTCAGCTGTTGCTGATAGCTGTTGGAAGGTTTTATAAAAGATCAGGGCACGGTGATATTTTAGCAAGTTGCCTATTAAGGACATTTACTGGAAATGACTTTATGATTCCTATCCCTTTCTTCAAAAAAAAAAAAAAAGTCAACACAATCACATGTAAGCAATTAAAAAAGGAAATTCAACCACCTTTTTTTTTTTTTGGTGGTTTTATGAGTAAACTCAAGTCTCTTGCCCATCTCAGGTTGAAATCCCCAGAGAAAAGGTAGAAGTGGCAGTAACAAAATCAGAAGAGCAGCTATCCCTTTGATAATTGACATCTGTTCATCATAAACAGACTTCTTTCCTGCCATTCATCTGGCCTCGCAGAAAGATCTACTCATATTTCACTCTAAATGAAGGTAAGGTGGCTTAAAAGTCATGGCAATCTCACCTCCTGGGTAAAGAAAACATTACAAATCAGAAAATCGCTTTTAGAAACATACAATAGCTTGTAATCTGGAACCAGGAAGATAGATATTTCCTCTTTTGACAAATCCTCAAGTCTATAGCCAAGAAGGTGTGAGAATATCTGACATGTTAAGACAAGACAGAAATGATGTTTTGATCATTTTGGCACTAAAATGGTTCATGATTTTATCAGATTAGAGCCTGTTTTCCATTTTTCAGGAAATGGTCCAAAAGACATACTGTTTTATTGACAGGACTTCCAAACTAGTTATTATTTGCTAATAATGTTGTGTTAAAAGTCTGAGCAGAGTGTCTTGCCAGAGAGAGAGCGCGTGAAACTTTTATGTCCAACGGTGTTTGGATGAGCAAGATAATTATACCCTTGTCCACAGCAGATGCTCTGTTCTTCGCTTTGGCAGTTTCCCTGTTCAGTGTGCAAATAATTTTCTCTGCTAAAGTTGGTAGCTATGTGCTACAAATATATTTCTTTTCCAGCAAAGAATGGATCTTTTCCATCACCACTCACAAATAGCAACTGAATTGACTGGAGTTTTGTTTCAAACACATACGCGAAACTGATGTGAAACAGAAAGAAACTCATAGGAAAACCCCATGTCTATCAAAGCGTGTGAATAAAATAAGTTATTCACTAAAATAGTTGAAAAACTGCGTTGTAGCAATGATTTGAACTTATTTAAATCAAGATTTTTGAAAAAGTCAATGTTGATAGTCAAATAGTTTTAAAATTCAAATGTGCATTTAGTCAGTTTGCAATAAAGACGCTTACTTACATGTATTACAAAAATCTTATGAGCCCTCTTAGCCCCTGTATTTCTGTAACAGGCAAAATTCACTTTGTACATATATAGTGAGACCAAAAATAAGGAGCTCATGTTCTTCTTCAGTTTTGACAGTCATGTATGACTGTGCTTGAAATGGATGAGTGTATTCTCTCTGGCCAACGATGAACAAATACATTTCCGTAAGCCACTACGCTTGCTTTCAGGGTAGCCCAGGTGCTCTGGTTGTGTCTGTAAGCAGTGTGCTGGCAGGTGCTTTGGCAGAGAGCTGCAGAAGGGGAAGGATGGAGAAAGTATATTTATTATAGTTCCCTTTTTTGTTCTTACCACAGCCCCAGAAGCATGAAGGCAAGGAGAACCACTCCTCAAGTTGCCATGTTTTCATAGATACATAAGGCAACATACACTTATCTAATAAAACTAATAACATAATTGGGGGTTAGGTTGATGAATTATCCCTGAATCTCCCAACAATAATTATTGTTGACTAGACTTTTATGGTAAAATTCACCTTCCAGCAAAAGGTTCATTAAGTGCCAACTGAAAGATTTTGTTCCAAGTATGCGTATGTAAGTGCTGAGAATCAGAGGTGTGACTGACTGCATGGCGTGTCCTCAACTCTTCAGCATGCCCGGGGTAGAAATACCTACTGACGGGCAAAGTATTTATCACCAGCAGGCACATGCGAAAAATGTCCCCTAGAACCTTAAGCAGGGCGGAGAGAAATCTGTCTATGATAAAGGTTTCTCAGAGGAGGTGAAATCTGAATCCCACCTTCAGGATGAATAGGTCTGGCTACTGAAGAACCAGTAGGAGGGCCTTTCATAGCGAGCAACAGCAGGAATCAGGAGGCAGTAGACTGCTCAGTTTCAAATGGCTTTTTCAGAGCATGCTCAAATACCACTATTAGGATAGATGGCACTGAGGAGAGTAGTAGGGGCCCTGTTTGGAAATTAACATTATTTCTCTTCTCACATAAGAAAAAGAGTTGCAGCGGAAAAGCCAGGAGAAGTACAGTGTAGTTTTGATAGGAATACCAGACTATGATGTGTATTTATCTACTAATAAGAATTTAATAACTCAAATATTTAGAAACATAATTCCAGCTTTATTTGATAGTTACATTGGTGTCGCAAGAGAATATCAAACATGGTAGGATAAACAATGGTGTAGCAGGATTCTAGGTATATGTAGGGTGAAGTAAGGTTAGTAATAACTTTTACCCACATCGTACTTAGGAGGTCCTTTTCCTCTTGGATCCTCAGTGCTGGCTTTCCATTTCTGTTTCTAGATGAAGAAGATTGAATGTCCAATGGCCATCTACAGAGCTTAATCACTGCTTAAAATGTTGTATCAAGGTTATGAATAACTGAGTAGATCCCATGTGAAACTGGGAACTTCCTTTTCTGTAGGAAAATCAGTGCCTGCCTCAGGGATGTGGTCCTTATTCTCTTTTTCTTCCTTTCACTTAACCTGTTCCCTTACTGGCTGCCAGTCTCTCCCCGCCTTTCTGATTACACATGGACACGTCTATGCTTCCACTCTCTTTCTCCTTTCGGAATGTGCTTAAACACACTTAGTAAAAACAATCAGTTTTTGGGATATCATTTTCTCCCTGTGCCAGGAGTCTTTTAAGGTTTTAGGATGAAGCATTATTGACAGGTAACTTGCGTCGATTTCTAATCACTGTTGAATGATCCCTGTGGTTTCTGTGTTTATTCTTATACCTAATCACATTTGATAATGAAGGTGGTGCAAAACCAAGCCTTAAACTGTAATCAAGTAAAGGGAATCTGCTTGGTTAACAAGTTTTATTAAATATTTGTTGGAAAATACATCTATCCCATGAGATAGGCCACAGTCAAAGGACCACCAACCTCATTAACATGCGCGTAGCTGTCTGCTTCTTACTGCACTTTCATTCTCTAAAAATAACCACCAAGGTCTTTTTGTAAAAATAAGTGAGTTAGAACCAAAAACAAAGGAACATCATTCTTCTCCAAATAATTTAATTACTCTGAAATGCTCTTTCGTGAAAAATAGTTTCTAGCATCTTCCATTTTCTTGCTATTTATCCATACTTCGAATTACTTCATTCATTAGTTCTGACAAGAGATTGTATTTGTATCACTGCCTGACAGATGTGTTACATGTTTCAGCCTTAAAATATTCCACTCTGAGCTCAGTGCTGCATACTTGGGTGATAATGTTAAATCAGCCCCACGACACACTGCTGTCATCATGCCAAATAACGCAGGGAAAAATGATAAGGGTATAAAGAGATCAATAAGGCAAGAAAATCCGTGCTTTCAAAAGTAAGGCAAAATATGAGAAAGACGATCAGTCAAGCATCGGGGCATAAATAAAGCAAGAATATGCCATGTTTTGGGCACCATGATGCTACAGTGAGCCATTATCCCATGAGTAGTAAATTTCTCTTACGTTTGCCTAACTCCTTTAATATAGGTCATACTAAAATATAGCCATAAGATTCACTGACACATTGATCAGTCTAGCATTGCTCTTCCTTCTCCCTTAATAGAATAAAATAAGGACATGGTTGATAAATGCTGAGAAGGACAATTCCCAGACCATTTAGATGTAAGTGGTCACACTGGAGTGTTCTCCCGGTGTAAGAAAGATTTATATTACTCACATCTTTGTAAATATGAATAATGCAAATACATATCTGCCCATCGGGTTGATATCACTCAATAGGGCCCTCGTAAGTGCCCACTTTTGTTGGATTTTTAGACAGAAAACAAGCAAACTGTAGAAACTGGCAATTTGGAAATTAAATCTTTTATTGAGTAGTAGGTACTCAGGCGTGCATCAGAAAGCAATCATTTTTCAGCAAAGCGCATTGTATTATTACAAATTTGCAACAATAAATGTAATAGCTTGCAGACACAAGACAGTACATTTTACAGACATTTGAAAATGGGAATTTATTTTTTTGTGCTAATGGTCAGTCTAAGGAAGGTGATCTGCAGACAGTGAAGAGAATTTCAGGATTGCTTTTATTAACATGGGGATGAAGTGTGAAAATTAATTTTTGTCGTGGGAAGATAAAGCTTAAGGCTGCATGTGGGATAGATTAGAGTACTTGGAGCTTGGGAACAGGAAATACAGCTTGGAGACAGTTACATTAATCCATATGTGAAGTGAAGTGCTCCTAGACAAGAATAGAAATAGCAGAATGGATGGAAAAGACAGATGTGGGAGACACTGAGAATGCAGCATAGGCAGGACTTGGTGCTGGGATGAGACTCATTCATGTCAGTGAAATAAAAAAATAATACATATCCAGATGTTAAATTATCAATATACTGTAGATCTGTGGAAAATGATTGCTAACTTCAAGTGAATATTCAAGGCATAGCGTAGGATGAAATTTTCATACCATGACACAATACTTGGAAGTGCCCTTCAGTATGAAGGGCCATCAGGAAAAGTGTCCAGAAAAAGGCATGAAGGGGCATTGGCTAAAAGCACGTTTGTAGACAGAAAGAACAAGTGGAAACACACAGGAAAAGCAAGACCTCTGACTCATTCGTGCAGACTATTCAGAGTTGAACATCTGTTGCTTTCGGCTTTCCGGGTGCTTTCCCTTTTTACCTTAAATCATGTAGCTCTAGCACATGAGATATTTACATCTGAAAATGGGATATAACCTCTTGGTACAACAGAGAGGTAGGATTTTCAGATCACCTGTGGGTATGGGGGAGAGAGAGGTGGGGGGTGGCTGGAAAGGTGGGTTCATGATGGCAGGTTTGCCCAGAGCCTGATAAAATTTAGGCGTTAGGGTCCCTTGTTTTTCCCAACCTCTTCTATAATCTTATATTTAATCCTGTATAATCATTTTGTATTTTTTTCCTCAAAAATGGTCAATGACCATCCAAAGTGTCTAAGATTTGGATTGCACAAGATGCACATTCTTTCATAACTAGCAATGTGTTTATATGGTTACATCAATTTGGAAAATTTGTAAAAAAAAATACATTTTCATCACAACGGGTCCTTGCTTCTTTTCACTCTAGTTTCCCTATTTGTATTTTTTTTAATTCCAGTGGTGGTAGGTATTGTGGAATTTAGTGAAGGGTAAGTTATGTGGGAGATCCATTTATGTTGTATTGAGTGGGATATATGTT